TCACTTTATTCCGATTGGATACTCTTAGCTATATAATCTATAGCTTTGAGTCGTATCTCCTAACTTCCGAGGTGGGCGACTGTCTTGTTTGCATATTTTCTCATTCATTCATGTCTGGCCATCTATTGTCTAGGCGCACTTGTTAATTGTCTCAACTCACTCTCAGCACTGCTTGGTCGACTCTCGAAACCGTATTTCCACACAATGTCTTCTCCTACTACGCGCTCCAAGACCGGAATTGCTCAACCGGTGTTGAGCACTGGCCGACTTTCCTCAGAATCCAAGTACGATCTCCACTCTCGCTACCATCTTGTGTGCTAACGGTGATATCCCAGCGGAGCAGTAAAAGGGTGCGATCGTCAGTCTTGTCATTGTCCCATGTGCTGACGACGACTTTCTAGCGGAGCAGCATTCAGGTACCATCTTCAATCCCATTGTTGTGCCGTGCCGTGTACTGAGAACAACATGATAGCGAACAGCAGTCGGCGTTGAGCCGCCAGTCGAGTTCCATGACACAAAGCAGCCAGAGCTTCCAGCGCCAGGAGAGCTCTTACAGCTCTCACACGGACAGTTCCGAAACTGTCTAGTAAGTTGACCATCTCGCTAATGGCTTCAAACTGGTCATTAATGAAACCTATCGCACAGCGAGTACCACCGTACTAGGCTCACTCTGGCCGACTGCCAACTTGAGTTGAAGATGCCGATACTGACAATCAAGCCCAAGTCGTCTGGAGCCCAGTTTACACTTACCACCTTGAATCTTGACGACCACCTCGGGAACGTCGACGGAGAGCTCGTGTGGGGCTATCAGAAATTCAGTGCGTCGTGCAAGAATGTCACCCTCAAGGGAACGCTCCTAGTCGCCTCGTGCGGCCGTGGCGACAAGGAGTGGATCGAGGCCACGTTGGACTTGAGCGAGCACATCACTTACAGCTTCAGTCGGCGCTGTTTCGAGGCCATCCTTCCTGACCCCGGGTTCATCGAACTGATGTCCTCGGCTGCCTGGATGAACGTTGCGGTCATCACCCAGCCCGACATGCGTGGCTTCCTCACGAATCCGGCATTCCAGGGGTCGATCAAAAGCGTCGCGCGCCGCGCGGTTGAGGAGGTCATCAGCGAGATGAGGGAGGAGATGTCGCGTGCGGTCGAGAAGGCCGTGTCCCAGGTCAGCATGCGGGCCGAGGAGCACGTCCAGTACGAGATCGAGTCCCTCACCAAGCGGGCTACGCTCATCAATACTGCGGCCTACTCTGGACTGGGCGGGCTTACGGTGATGTCGCACGAGCAGCGGCGTGCCTACAGCAGCTTTGCTCCAGTCATTGGCCTCGGGCATGGCCACCTTGCGACGATGAAGGGTGCCTTCTCCCATCTGGGGCATGACGCCATGGCGATGCTGAAGGGTCTCCCCACCTCAGAGCACGTGCACGCCCCCGACCTCGCCCCCGACCTCGCAGAGATTCGGAAGGGTACCGCCCCCGTCGCCGTAGCGAAATAATCCACGATTCAACGCACACGCCAGCCCACGTTTATCTCACACGTTCCACATTCCATAAATATATTCATTTTCGGTAGAAAAACTCGTTTATGTTGCATAATGCAATAACAAACCATCTTCACGCTCCCCTTCGAGGTGGTCGATTTGAATTGAGCCTCAGTCGATAAACCCCAATGCCTCTACGCCGCATCAGCGGCAGTGTCGCGGCACTGCCTTGTGCCGCGTAACGCTGCCAGTGCTCGGCCCCCGGCGTTTTCGGCCTTGCCTCTAACCGTACCGCTCAACGCCAAGCTTCTACCATTCTCCATATCTCATATCATCTTATCTCCGAAGTTTCGGTTGACGCTTTGTTGCTTATAATTAAACTGGCTGTACACTGGCATCGGCACGCCCACGGTCCAACACTTGACCCCAGACACATCAAAATTCCAGGTTCATCGGTAGAAGCTGGTGCACAGTTGCTTTTTCGTCTTCTACTAGTATCGTCTTTCTTCCCAGCCACCTTTCGGGCGACACCGACTCGGAGCGCGCCACGACTGGGTGCCGAGGTCAACGCTGGCCGGATGGCGCGCAGGAGATCTCGACAGGCGGACGACACCGGTCGCAGCGCTATCGCAGTCCCTGCGCTGAACAGCTTCCTCTGCACGACGCGCGGCCGTGGGACACCCACTAGCACAAGTAGAGTGTCGCGCAGCGCCAGTCTAAGCTGGTCTTATGGGGACACTGGCAGCGCTCCCCGCGCGTGATCGATGTGCGCTCCGAAGAATTGCGGGGCCGAAGAGAAGGCTGGAATACATGCATTGTTAGAAACTTAAAACGGGGATTGCAGGCAAATTGCAGGTGCCACTATGCTGCCACTGCTGCGTTATGTCTATCGACAAGCTTGCCTTCATAGACAGGTTGGTTTCGGGCCTAACCTCGATCCATCCTGGGCCCGGTTAGCTACCGCTTTGACGGTGTAAACTGGGTCGTTGCTATGACTGCTTTCCGTTCGCCGATCAGCCGACCCGTCGGGGGTTCAATTCCCTCCCAAAGCTTCCCAGATCTCTGGTACTTTTTATCTTTTGCCCAAGACATGCAAGCCCCAGCGTGGGCGCTTTTATTATTTGCGTGCCCGTGGACGGTTGAGGGAGTACATCTTCATGCTTGATAGGGATTTAAACACCATGAGATTATTATTGAGATACATTACATGATCTGTATCTGTAGAACGTGTATGTATCATGCTATTCAAGTTCAAGCAAACGAGGCCAAGTAGCGAGGCCAGAGGGTATGGCTGCGCCTTCATTTGTCAGTTCTCACCTCACTCTCAGACACCTGGCAAGCAGTGGCCGTCCAAACAGGCTGAGGCAGCACTCAAGCAAAAGCGCAGCTGGAACGAAAAGCGTTCCGCATCGAGAAGCGCTGAGGAGCCTCAGGCTGAGCGTTCCTCTAAAAATTTCAAGACGTAATCCGCCTTGCGTTGACGAGCCCACGTGCAGGTGGCTCACCCAACCTTCACGAGATACTCAGTGTGTCAGCCAATGTGGCATGTGTGTGTGGGTTCAGCGGTCAGTGCGCGTGTCTTTTTTTTTTTACGCAGAGCAGAGACGGGGACGGGGATGCACCTGCCACGACGCGAGGCCGACGATGGCGAGGCCGAGGAGGGCATGCAGGTAGTTCTGCGGGGGGCGGAAGGCGGGGAGCTTGACCCAGTGGATGAAGGCGCCGAGGGAGACCCGGGCCTGGAGGATGTACATTACGAGCATCGCCAGCCCGGCTTTCTGGACGCCACGCAAATCGGTGAGCTCGCGGATCTGGGGCCGGCGAAAGGAGCCACGCGCACCTGGTGCGGGTCGGTGTAGTGTGGCAGGCCGCTCGGTCGGTCGCTTGGTGCCCGAGCGCGAAGGCAGCGAAGACGAGCGGCGCGGTGAAGAAAAAGTTGACGACCGTGTGCGGCCAGAACCAGCCGTGTGGGGGCGCAGCCACGGGTCAGTGCTCAGCGGGCGGGCGGGAAAGGGCGGAAAGGAAGGCGCAACTGGTTTGTGAATGTGCGGAGGTAGCGCGCAATGCACATGCCGAGCGGGAGGGCGACGAGGAACACAACAAGGCGACATGGGCCTGGATGTGCGCCTTGTTTTCGATGGGCGACAGGGGCCCTGGGTTGGGGATGGAGGACATGGTGGGTGGAAGAGAAGCGTGGTGCACTGATCACGAGGCGCGTGAGCCGTCAGGAACATTTCACTGTGAACTTGAACACAGAAACACTCTCAGCTTTTAGGTAACCTAGGGCCGCCCAAATAAAGTAGTACATGACATGAACAATGACGCCGATGTGGACTTGTAACTCCAATCTACTGACGATTACATCAGTAAGTACGAGTATATCCGGCGAATGAAGGAACAACCTAGATCCAGTGTGCATAGCAGTACCCTGGTTGTTGTATTTCTCGTTGAGGCAGGGTTGGATCGTTGCGAGCAAGTGGGGCGGAGTGATACGCAGAATGCTGTCCCGGAGTTTACTTACCTTAGGCGAGTACTCGAGTAGTGCTCTGTAGAATCTCGAACTTATTATAAATGACTTGAAGTATATTTTCTCGGAACCACACGCAGACGTCAGACTCAAACTCCACAAATTTCAAAGCTGCCTGCCAGCTAGATTGGGCCACACTGTCACGGTGGTCCCCGCAGCAGCATGAACTACTAGTACCTCAGGCTACCGCTTTGGCGGATTGTAAGCCCGTGGTAACCAGTAGTAAGTACCTCGACCCATCCTGGCCGTTGCCATGGCATGCCTGCTTTCTGGTCGCCGATCAGCCGACCCCGGGCCGTCGGGGGTTCGACTCCCTCCCAAAGCTTCCCAGATCTCTGGTACTTTTTGTCTTCTGCCCAAGACATACAAGCCCCAGCGTGGGTTTTGTGCGCGTGGACGGTTGAGGGAGCACATCTCTTCTTGCTTAATAGCTATTCAAACACCGCGAGATACATTACATTATCTGTATCTCATGCTATTCAAGTTGGCAGAACATCAACAACCGTCCGCGTTTGATGCCGACTCCCGGGACAAAGCTGCGCGCCGCCATGATCAGCGCTACACTGCGGGTGGTCGTCGACGTTAAAGTTCCGAGGCAGCGGCCCCCCAAGGCAATTATAGGAGACCAGTCGTTCAAGTTTTTTTCCCCCCGCTATTTCTTTTTTTCTTCAAAAGTCGAGACTTCAAGACTTCAAGTGTGCGCCGGCTGTAAATAATGATTTTGCGCAGCTCAGGCACGGGTGATCTCTGCAGCCGCGGGGCAGCCGCAGTGCAGCTATCGAATTTCTTAAGAAGTGCGGCCATAGACTTGTGAGTTATCATTTACAGATGGACTTAGCGGAAGCTTGCTTGCTGACTTGTAGCTGAGCTGGCGACGGCTGTCGCTGTGGTATATTTCAGAATCCTTCAATCCCGTCCACAAAAGCATTATATTGATATCTGTGCTTATTATTGGGCTCTGTATTCATGGGCAAAGCCCCAGACCTTTATGCCGCTTTGGTGGGGTAGTGGTCACTTGGGTTGCTCGCGCTGAAAGTTTGATGCAGTTGCTCGACCCGCTGGGGGTTCGATTCCCCCCCAGAGCATCCAGCCAAATCTACGAGCTTTTTTTTTTTGGTGGGGGGGGCACCTCTCCTTTTTGGGCCCTCCCTTGCGCGACGCGGCTTGGGCACGCGTGTTCTGTGCGGACAAGCACGTGGCATCAGAGAGCGGCACGCCTCTGAATCCCTGCAAGTCACTGCATGCATCCGAAATAGCAGGGTGTGCCGCTTTGGTGGGGCGATGGTCGATTACTTTTCGGTTGTCCTGCGAGAGGTGTGTGGGCACTTTTATTCAAGCACTTTTCGTGCGGATGAACGACCGGAAACAGCACGTTGGTGGCAGTCGGAAATATAAAAGCTATGGTCAACTGCCCTGTACACCTTAGATTTAGGTGAGGGCTGCCACGCCTGCCTGCAGCACTTTGAGTCTCAGCATATCCAGAAATTCACGGCTTTGGTAGGGTGGGTATGGGTATTTGCTATAAAATGCTCGCCTGTCACTCGACCCGCCGAGGGTTCGATTCCCTCGCAAAGCACAAGGGAGTAAATTTGAAGGTTTTTTTTTTGGGGGGGAACCATCTCTCGTTCTGCCGGTCCCTCCCATGCGCGACGCAGAATGAGCGTTGACTTATTCTGCGTCTTCGATGTATGGAGGCAACACGAGAGCGCGTAATATCCAAGTCACTGTAAGCGGCTGCGCCTCCTTGACGAGGACCTCACTACATCCGAAATGCTGGGGTGTACCGCTTTGGTGGGGTAGTGGTAACCTGGGTCGGCCAATTATATAATAAAGTTGGTAGGGGCTTTATACTTGACCCGTGGGGGGTTCGATTCCGCCCAGAGCGTGACTTCCGGAACGATAAATATTTTTTGGCTGTATTTCGCCTCTCATCTCTCCTTTTTCCTGTCTTTATTTCCCTTGCCCGTGCAGTGACGTGCACGCTCCGTACCACTGCCAGCTCATCGGTGAACCGAACGGTCAGCACGTGGCAGTCGGAGAGTACTTATCCAAGCAAGTAAGTGGCAGCCACGCCTCGAGTACCTCACTGCATCCGAAACAATGGGTGTACTGCTTTGGTGGGGTAGCGGTACCTGGGTTGTTGCAATATACAAGTAGCAGTCTGCAGACAGATCTCTCCACCCGCCGGGGGTTCGATTCCCCTCCAAAGCATGCCAGGAGCGAGACTCGCCTCTCATTTCTCATTTTTCTTGTCCTTCCCTTGCCGCAATGTGTACACTCCATACCAGCTCAAGCGCGTCCATTCTTTTTACAAGTTCAAGTCTGACCTACGTACACTATTACATGGGCTTTATCGTACATACTGTCACACAGCAAACACATCGGTCCGCATTCGATGGCCCGACTCGATCGAAACCCAATCAGCCCCACGCCGTCGACGGACGCGTCGGTCCCGGCGTCTTGGGCGCCCTTGGTCTGCCGGCGCGTCGCGGGCCGCGGCCTCCTGCTTGATCTGGCCAGTGGCGCGGCAGCAGGCCGAGGCCAAGGCCATACAGACCCACATGGCCTGCCCAAAGAAAGCACGGGGTGACTCCACGCGTTTCAAAGCGGGGAGGGGGCACGCACGATAACGATGCCGAGCCAGAAGTGTGTTCAAACTTCACGGTCACGTGAGCGGACAGATGCAGACGGAAACTTTATCCGTCACAGTTGGCGATCAGCGCAATATCACCCTTTTGATACTCCACAGCATCTTTTTGTTTTCTCTGCCATCATGCCTCCGTTCAATTGCTTAGAGTGTGAGTGTTACAGATGTTCTCCTGAAAACACCCCAAAACTTAATATTTTTATGTGTAACCTGTGCGAAATTCTAACCAGGCGTAAAAATCCGAATACTCACCATTTATCCCTGCCTTCCCGGTGCTACCACTATTAGCGAGAGCAGTATCAAACCGCCATGCAGGAACTTCAGTCCCATTGGCAGGCAGTTTGCCCGGCTGAGCGTGGATAGAAACAGCACTCTGTCAGTTGGTCCCGCGTCCCATAAGGGTCTGAAGGAGTGAATGTAATGGAAGATCAGCGGTACCTTGTTGAATGACAGCTGGAAGCGCGTTCAATTTGTGCCCGACTTTGAAGTAGGATGGATCAGCCGAATAATGTGGCGTCACGAAAATATGTAGCACCGTATGAGGTTTCCAAGGAAGGGCTGCCGTCGTGGTGCCTGGTACTCACATGAGACTAGCGAAGTGTATAACTGACGTTTACGAGTCATTCTCACATTTGACAGGTCATACGAGGTCACAGGATCCAATTGAAAGGCTCATCACCCGCGTTCGAAAGTTATCATATGCAGATGGACTTACTCTAGCGGAAGCTTGCTTGCTGACTTGTAGCTGAGCTGGCGACGGCTGCCGCACTGCGGAATCCTTCAGAATCCTTCAATCCCGTCCACGAAAGCAGTATTTTGATATTTGTGCTTATTATTGGGCCTGCATTCATGGGCAGGGCCCCGGACCTTGACTGATCGCAAATGTGGCTATGTTGCTTGCAGATGTTACTATCGGCAGCCGCCTCACCCCAACTTTCTGTACAAGGGGGTGTCGGCTTTCGAGAAAAAAATACGGGGTAGGGGGGGGGTCTGGCGAGGGTGAAAAAAACTTTATACCCATATTTCAAATGTCGTCAAAGGGCTGAAAAACACCTTTGGTGCATGGGGAGAATATTTTTCTCAATATACTGCCCTTGAGGCTGCCCCTAGTCCTCTTCCCAAGAACATCCACCCCTCATATTAATGAAATGCACTCGCCGCCCACATTTGGCGGCCATCACGTCAACGACTGATGCGATCACATCTAATGGCGTGCCAGTTATGGCCTCGTTCGGCGGCCTATGGTCGCCTGTTTTTGGCATAGGCTAGAGGAGGGCATATTATGAATTAACACAGGCGCGCGGAGCGCGCGAGAATTTTTTTTCGGCGGGGTAGGGGGGGGGGGGTCCAGCGGGGGTCGAAAAAAACTTTTCGACCCCATATGCTTATTTCGAATGCCGACACCCCCTTGTTTCTGTACAGACTTGGTACAGACTCACTTGTGCATAACTCAGTCCGAAAATTCTGCCCCGCAAATTTTCTCCGTATCCAATTGTGTTCCACTTAAATTGGGAGCCTCCGTGACCGTGTAGGAACCTGTAGAAAAATCCGAGGTCCGACGCGTTCACGTGGTGTCTACGTGACACGCATCAAAAGTTACCTTTTTCGATTGATTCCTCCCACACCGGCTCGGAACCAGAGCTGTCCGAGATTAGCTGAGTTTCAAGGTCACGTGGCTTCACGCATCAAAAGTTACCTTTTTCGGTTGATGCATCAAAAATTACTTTATATGCGACTCCCTTCAACGTGAAGCGTCGTGAAAACACAGCCACTAGTATTTTAGCTACCCACACAGATAATGGGGAGCAAGAGCAAACACGATGGTCCGCATTCGATTCCTAGATCAGGCCCACGCCATCGACGGACGCCAAGGGGTACCCACCGGAAGATCCCGAGACACAGCCTCAGAGGGAGGGAGGCCTCCGAGACCTCTTATTTCACTTTTCGGACCGAGGTTTCAATTGCTTCAAAAACATGTTTAGGACAATAAAAAAATGCCAAAAAATAAATGGAACTAAATAATAATACTTTCTATCTACAATTATGCACATGGCCTATCCGAACTTATCTGGGAAGGTCTGCAAGCGATCTCAATCTTATTTGCTTTGACCTTGATTAAATTTTAATGATATCTCAGTAACAAGCATATGTTATATCAAATAATCAAGCTCCCATCCCACATCACCCCGCAATATCATGGCAGCCCACACCACTGACACAGACTTTAAACACGCAATCCAGCGGATGGCTAGCCTCTTACCACCATCGTGTGCTGCAATTAAGTACATGTTCAGAGACTGCATACACCCAGATGGCCCATCCTTCCTGTGTCGGAATAACAGCAGTCGAAGGCGGAGTGTGGTTTTGCAGTGACTACCACATGTTTTATAGCATTTATGTAAAGACTGGAAATTCCCGCCCTTGAAGAAATTTCAGTTTGATTTCCGTAAAATTACCGCTTTGGGACACATCACGTGATCATATGAGAGGGAGGGAGGGTCCTGAGCCGTCTTATTTCACTTTTCCGACCCTGTGTTGGAAATTTTAATAGTGGGTACCCCTTGACGGACGCGCTCTCGGCGTCGTGAGCGCCCTTGGTCTGCCGGTGCGCCGCGGTCTCCTGCTTGAGCTGGCGCGGCACCAGGCCGAGGCCAAGGCCATACAGCCCCCACATCACCTGCGCAGAAGAAACAGGTGAGTTCACGCGTTTAGGAGCGGGAAGGAGGGAGGGAGAACTTTAGGAGCACCGAAAATTAATTTGGGGTTAGAAATGAGCCTCACAAATCTCTAAATTTGCCACAATCCAGTGTGGTCGAGTTCAGCCCGCAGTGCAGAGCACTGGAATTGCGGGACAGAGTCAGAAAGGCAGTGCTGAGCCGTGGGAAAATGGATACTGGTTGCCGAACTCAATTATAGGTGTCGTAAAGTTCTGTAACAATAACTTGAAACGAGGTCTGATATCCATCAAGACCCGCCTTTGGCTGTGAGGAGACGAATTCAAATGCGCTTCTTCCCGCGCAATAGAGTCGGCACCGAAGCTTGAACGATCTACGAGTCAGGTAGACGACGGGTCCGAGCCGGATCTCCATCCTTTAAAAGGGCTGCCCAAAGTCACCCCAATTGCAACTTGTTCTCATGAATCATACCCCAAGGGCCGCAATTGAAACACTACCAGATGAAATTCTAGCGGGGATTTTAAAGCTGGTGGCCGACTCCCCAGTACCTGCCTATCACAGAACGTTGCCATTCCCCGTCGCTGCCGGTCGTGTCAGCCGCCGATTGCGCGCAGTCGTCCATGCTTCCCCAGAGCTATGGAATACCATACGGCTCTCTCACCACTCACACTCCTGGCATTGGGCGACGGTGTTTGTCAAACGATCCGGATCGTATCCACTCGATATCAGCATCAATCTCGAGGCTTATATCTTTTGCAAAGAGCAGAGATATTTCCGTGATGCTCCCATCCCCATCCACCAGGCCTTCGCCATTGTCGGTCCACATATAAACCGCTGGAGGACAATTGCTCTCCGCTGTTGGGAGTACCAGGTTCAACAATTGAGGGAATTGATGGTACAGGCCTCCGGCTCTGCGTCAGAACTCCAGGCCGCCCACTATCTTTGGTGGACCACTACTCTTGGAATGAAGTTAAGGTCCTACCTCCGTTTGCCAAACTATTTGGCGGCCCCGCCTTTTGTTCGCTGAGGGCAAACACTCGGATTCACCTCACCAACCTGGTCGCCTTGCGGGCTGTCAACAGCCTGGACATTGACTTTGGTGATTATCGTCCCCATGAATTCTGTCAAATATTTGGCCCTTCATCGCCACTGAAAACCCTTGTCATCCGGAGGTTTTCTCCTGAATCTCTGCCCGTGGCACAGCACATCGAGGCTTCTACAGTAATATCCTTGGCTGTCAGTTTCAGTGGGCCATTCTACTCCTTCGAGACCCTCACCGATATGTTCACCTTCCCCAATCTTGAGACCCTCGAGATCGTCGGGGGTTTCACTGTACAGTTTTGCAACTACAGCGGCGTCACAGTGCCCGAGGAATGGGAAGCCCCACTCTTCCCTCACCTACGCACCCTCCGCCTGGAGGATCTCGGTTTTAGTCTCTGCGGACTTTCCCACATTCAATCCTTTAGCCGAGGGATCACCGACATAGAACTCGTTAATACCACCGGGAATCACTGTATCTCCGAGCAGTACAGTGGCGGCTGCATATGGCCAGCACTTCGTGCCCTCACCCTTGACCTCACCCTCGAGACATGCGCGGAAGAAGTCGCAGAATCACGGTGGCTCGGGCCGTTCCTCGCGAAGCGCGCCTCCCTCGGCGCAGATCGGTGTATATTGAAGTTAAAACTGTCGCCTTGGGTGGCACACATCGCCCTCCCAGCAGAATTTCACCCAGAAATCCACTGGCTATGTGACGGGCCACCTCCTGGCCTCATGGATGGTAATACTGGGCATGACTTCTATATTGATGACTACACCATGCGCACCCAGGATTTCGAACCTGTCAATCCCCCATACCCACCAAAGTGTTGCGATGATTTCGATCATTACAGTTCCTACGCGATAGATGTCGATGAGCATCTGCGGCAGGTGGATAACGAAATTGCGGACACGTTCAAGGTGACATGTGAACTCGTAAGAACAAAGGGAGTGTGGCGGGAGCTGAGAAAGAAAATGCGTCGAGGGTTCAAGGCGGAACGGAAGTTCAAAATGGGACGGAAGCGCGGATGGCGCGATCTCATGGAGGATTTCTGCCTAATGACACGTCTCAGTAATTAAACTTGACTTGTTTATTGTCCTTGCCCAAAGTTTATCATAAGCAAACTCCAAAGAAGTGGGAAACTATCGCACCGCTCAAATGCCAGCGATTTCTCAGGGTGAGAAATGCAAAGTTTCCTTCTCGAACTTTTATATGCAAGCTGTTTCCAACGGTTGAAGACGCCGTAAACCTTCCCGTTTATCTTGCGATGCATGAGATTATTGCGGCTGATGTCGCGATGCATAATACCAGCTTTCTCGTATAACCATCAGTAACCTGTCAGGAACGGATTCAGAGAAAGGATGTCACTGATCTTGAAGGCGCGCGCGGACGTATGGCAACTGAAGATACCGCGAAACGCCTTCAAGTTACCCAATTCGGCTGCGGTCGTCAGCTCCGTGATCGGACGGAGTACTTCCTGGACGACGATGCGTAGTATCCGGAGGTGGTCAAGAACCCAGCGATCGCTGGGTGCGGTCGTCCGTTCGGTCGCTTTCTTGAAACGAAATCGGCCTCAGACGTTCTGGTTTTTGCCGGCCAGCTGCATTTTACGATCACCTCGTTCTCCTTGCCGCTCACCTCCATCTGTGCGCGGGAGACGCTTGTGCCGCGCCCGATAATCCCGTGAGCCTGGAAGATTGTTTCCCCCATCTTCGACAATTGTCCATCGTTTAAATCGATGGTGACACCGTCGAAGGGATGCGTTAGCACGCCACGGCGCGGGTAGATGGTGGTAAGACGCGGGGGTTTTGACAGAGGATGATATCCCAATGAGTCTCCGTGAGATTTGCGATGCCTCTGAGCATAGTGATGAACAAGTTGTGCGTAGTCTAGGGTTAAGGCGCCTCTACCTTAAACTTCTTAACGAGTCATTCTCACATTTGACAGGTCATACATACGAGGTCACAGGATCCAATTGAAAGGCTCATCACCCATGCGGGACGCGTTCGAAAGTTATCATATGCAGATGGACTTACTCTACCGGAAGCTTGCTTGCTGACTTGTAGCTGAGCTGGCGACGGCTGCCGCACTACGGAATCCTTCAGAATCCTTTGAGAATCCTTCAATCCTGTCAACGAAAGCATTATTTTGATATCTGTGCTTATTATTGGGCTCTGCATTCATGGGCAGAGCCCGGGACCTTGAAGCTGCTTTGGTGTAGTGGTTACTTGGGTTGCTTGGCTGAAAGTTTGATGCAGCTGCTTGACCTGCCGGGGGTTCGATTCCCCCCCAAAGCATCCAGATTGTGAGGTATACAAAGTTTTTTTTGGGAGCACCTTAACTTTTTTGGTCCCTCCTTTGCTTGGGCACGCGTGTTCTGTGCGGACAAGCAGTGGCAGTCAGATCTAGAGCATGTGAATATGTAAGTAAGCGGCCACGCCTCTGAATCCCTGCAGGTCACTGTATGCATCCGAAAAAGCAGGGTGTGCCGCTTTGGTGGGGTAATGGTCGATTACTTTTCGGTTGTTCTGCGAGAGGTGTGTGGGCACTTTTATTCAAGCACTTTTCGTGTGGGTGAACGACCGGAGACAGCACGTTGGTGGCAGTCAGAAATATAAAAGCTATGATCAACTGCCCTGTACACCTTAGATTTAGGTGAGGGCTGCCAAGCCCGCCTGCAGCAGTTTGAGTCCCTCGGCATATCCAATCCACCGCTTTGGTAGGGTATGGGTAATGGGTCGTTGCTATAAAATGCTCCCCTGTCAGTCGACCCGCCGAGGGTTCGATTGCCCCGCAAAGCACTAGGATTGAATTGAAGATTTTTTTTTGGGGGGGAAGCATTTCTCGTTCTGCCGGTCCCTTCCATGCGCGACGCAGAAAATGAGCGTTGACTTATTCTGCGTCTTCGATGTATGGAGGCAGCACGAGAGCGCGTAATATCCAAGTCACTGTAAGCCTCCTTGACGCCTCCCGCAGGTCGAGCACCTCACTGCGTCTGAAATATCAGGTATATTGCTTTGGTGGGGTAGTGGTAACCTGGGTCGGCTAATTTATGAATTTGATTGCGCTTTAATGCTCGACCCGTCGGGGGTTCGATTCCTACCCAGAGCGTGAACCCAGTTGGAACGGAAACATTTTTTGGCTGTATTTCGCCTCTCATCTCTCGTTTTTCCTGTCTTTCTTTCCCTTGCCCGTCGGGAAGAAAGCGGTTACGTCTGCACGCTCCAGAGTCCATACCACTGCCAGCTCATCGGTGAACCGAACGTCCAGCACGTGGCAGTCGGAACATATAAGTAAGTGGCAGCCACGCCCTGAGTACTGCTTTGGTGAGGTAGCGGTACCTGGGTTGTTGCCATTCGCGAATAGTGAAGATGGCTCGACCCGCCGGGGTTCGATTCCCCCGAAAGCATTATGAGCATAAATTCCAAGTACAGCTTTTGGCTGTCTCTCGCCTCTCATCTCTCGTTTTCTTGTTTTTCTGAATCTTTCCCTTGCCCGTGCGGTGATGTGTACCGTGACGCTCCATACCACTGCCAGCTCATCGGTGGTCAAGCTCCAGCACGTTGCTGTCGATGCATATACATACAGTAGTTAACCCCGAAGCGAGACATCATGTAGAAGCGAGACACGACCAAACAACCCCGTTTTTCTTGCCAGTTCCAGGTGTCCGTATCCTTCTCCAATATCCACCCCCCGTTTTCGAGGTCTGCGGAGACTATGGAGACGATATCGGGACCTCTGCCAGTGGGGCAATTGTTTACCTTAATATCACATAATGTCTCGCTTCTATGTGATCATCAGACTTTTGACATTTCTATTGTGGTATTGTGCAATACCAAAAAATACGTCAAAATACCAAAAAATACCACAACACGCAATATCAACAATATCCACCGTAAATTTTGACAATGCCGAAACAACTTCCGTGATATCATCGGAACAGCAAGTGAACTTATGGGTTTTAGACCTTCCAATGATTCTTTATGTCCATCCTAATTACTAGATTTCATATGGACCACATTGCCCAGTCTACATACCTTGCAATATGGAAAACAATTTGAGTGAGCAATACGAAAATAGCAAAAAACACGTGAAATACGGCAATCAAAATGTCAAATGGCTGATGATGTCTCGCTTCAGGGTTAACTACTGTACATACAGAATATCCATATAATATTATAAGTGGCAACCCACGCCTCGACTACCTCACTGCATCCGATACACTAGGATGTACCGCTTTGGTGGGGTAGCGGTACCTGGGTTGTTGCTGTGGGCAATACACAAATCGGACGTCACGGTCCGGCTGTCAAGTATTCAATTGATAATAATATTTGATTAATATTGATATGACGTACACGAGGTCGTCACCCACTCGTCGCTCTGGAGGTTTCGGATGTACGCTGAGGGCTTGCGCAAACGACGTCCTAGCTCCCCCTGTGCGTCGACGTCGTCGTCTGATGTCGCTGGATTGTCTGGCTCGTCGGCAGCGTCTCTTGTCACGGATGTAGCTGGTGGATTTGCGCTATTCGTCGACTGTTCTCCTGCCGGCTCGTCTTGTGTGGCTTGGGTGCCTGTGGTTTCGTTGGACGTTGCTGGGGTGTCGGGCTCATTGGTGCGTGTCTCGCCGCTCTGCGCCGTGTCTTGCTGATTTGAGTTTGCAGGTGCCGGCGTGGTCGTGATTAAGGTCTCCTGGCCGGATTCTCCCCCAGACGTCGTGCCGTCGTCGAAGCGAACGCTACGCTCGACGGTCACCATCGCGCTCTTCGGCCAGAATACTCGGTGGCCGTTGGGGGTATCGCCGCTGGGTCCTATCCACACGGCGTCGACTTCGCGCGGGTCCGCGTTTGGCCCGGTATGTCGCTGCACCCACACCCTGCATCCGAATCCCCGCGCGTTCGTCAGGTCGGGCTTTTTGCCCGTCAGGATCTCGTGCGGTGATTTTGATCCTGTCCTCCTCGTCGGCGTACGGTTGCGCAGCCATACGGCGTAGATCACGGCGTACCCCCAGAACGATTGCGGCAGGCCGCTGGCTAGCAGCATCGCCCTGGCGTGGTTGCCGATGGCTTCGCTCAGGCGCTCCGTGACGTCGTTCGTCTGAGGCTGGATGGCGGCGCCGTATTTCGTCAATTCGGCCTCGAATGCGTGGAGCTGGCGCGCAGATTCGTTGGGGTCGTCGATCTTCTGGAGCCATAGCCACGCGATGTCGGTCGTCGTGTCGAGGTGCGTCCCATAAAACTTGTAGCCGCCCTCTGCTGCCGCTGACGTCGGTCCCCGTAGATCTCCTACGGCTTGCTCCCCCGCGGCTTTAGTTCGCGGGTCGTGGTGTCTCTTCGCGATCGTTAGGCCTTTCGTTTTCGCGCCGTCGCAAGCTTCACACTGCCTTATAGGTGTGGAAAGGTCGACGTCGATTCCGATCGCGGCTCCCGTACGTGCGAGGGTCTCGATGGTGCTGTGCGCTACGTGTCCCAGCCTCTCGTGGGCTGCCATGCGCGTCAGCGGCTTCCGGGCGGTGCTCGCTGCCCCTGCCGCGGTGCCTGACTCGGGCTTCCAGGTCGTCAAGGGGTAGACGCCGCCGCGTTCTGCGACTCGCAGTATTCGCGTCCCGGTCTTGGTGTCGGTGAGTGTGCCGTATCCATTTTCGGCGTTATTGAATGCTAATCCGTGCTTGCGTAGCTTCGCGAGCGAGATGAGAGTGTTGGAATTCGGGTCGTTCCGGAGCGCGCGTGATCGATATCTCGCTTGCCCTAGCAGAGAGGAGAGGACAACAGGTTGCTACGGGGCAACCGAGTGAAGTATATTCGTAGATTACAATGGTTTATATACTACTTTCTTACTAATATCCCAGATGCTGTACCCGGATATGAACGGCGTGGTATACATCATCGGCATCGGGCAATTACAGATCCGACGGGATGCATGGGAAATAGCCATGCGGAGTGCTTGATTTCCAACACACCCCCGCAAGCACGAAGCATCAACAAAATTGAACAGGAATAAGAATTACCAAAGAATAATTGGGCACCCCCGGAATCAAGGAAGCGTCCAGGGATGGACAGCGGCAGCGATGCCAACAGCTTCGTGCGTGCGGCGGAGTCGGATGGGCAGGAATGGAACAACGGCATGGACGGCGTCATGTGTCCACAGGTTGACTGACAGCGAACGCAGGTGAACGGCAATGCGGGAAGACGGCGGCGCAGGAATAGTGTGTGAGCACGAGGCAGCAATTACGGCGGCGACGAAAAGCGGGGTTCACGGGAAGATGGCGGCGAGGCGGCGGGAAAGACAAATGGTACAGCGGATCGTCCGGCAGGGAAATCAAAGTGGTTCGGCGATGGGACGGCGAGACGACGGTTCGGCAACTTGACGATGCGACGACAGGTTCAGCAGGTTCAACGGCGGTCCAACAATTTGGTTCGGCAAAGACACGCGCTTTCGGATAGGCGCGATCGACGGTTCGGCACACGCGCTTTCAACAGGCGCGATCAATTCGGCACACGCGCTTTCAACAGGCGCGATCGGTTCGGCACACACGCTTTCAACAGGCGTGATCGGTTCGGGACACGTGCGTTCGGATAGGCACGATCGGTGCCACTCGGTGTGGACTTTCGGTTCGGTTCGGCGACAGCGACGGTAACGGGGATACGCGCGGTGAATGCACAATCGGCAAGGACGGCAGGGGATCGGCAGCGGATTTGGCGATAGTACGGGACACACGCAATGAAGCGCGATCAGAGGGAACGAGAGGAATCGACGTGTCGGGGATCAATGGTTCGACGGCAACTCGGCGATCAGCGGTTCGGTAAGTTCGACGGGGTCGGCGGCTCGAGGTTTCGTGGCTTCGGGTGCAACAGCGCGGAAACAGAGGGTAACGGGACGATGGGTAGCGACAGTACGACGCGCACGGAACAACAGCGCTTCGAGCCGGTTCGTTTACTGCCTGGCTAGAGCAGGTACTCGGTTGTGTTGGAATTCGGGTCGTTCCGGAGCGCGCGTGATCGATATCTCGCTTGCCCTAGCAGAGAGGAGAGGACAACAGGTTGCTACGGGGCAACCGAGTGAAGTATATTCGTAGATTACAATGGTTTATATACTACTTTCTTACTAATATCCCAGATGCTGTACCCGAATATGAACGGCGTGGTATACATCATCGGCATCGGGCAATTACAGATCCGACGGGATGCATGGGAAATAGCCATGCGGAGTGCTTGATTTCCAACAGAGAGGTGTCGTGCACGAAGGTAAGTAGTAGGTGTTCTTGAGGCTGAAGGTCTTGACCTCACCATCTTGGTGGCAG